CAGTTCACAACCACCTAGTGGGCTTTTACAAAAGCAGGGCTTACGATTATAAAAACGTGCAACACAGGAACATCTCTCAGGAATGTAAAGGCCATTGTCAGGCACATAACCAAAAAAAGCATAAGACCTCAATCTCCAGTACTCCGTGACAAGACAGATTCCTAATTAGTGGTTACCAGCCGCTAACAAACACAGCTAGACTAGCTCGTCTCATTCATGCTAGCCAATTGGATTGGTAACTTCTCTGACTCTGAGCCACAATCTCTCCCTTAGTGACACACTTTTAGTTGACTCTGAATGTCATGAATACTGGCAGCCATGTAGCTGAGCTACACACCATCAATCTTTCATTAGCTTTGCTATAGACAACACATCTCCCACATAAGATATAGGATAATAATGCTTGCCCGTAACTCTTTATATGGTCCTGCGCAGATGTCTTTTGACTACTCCTGATTTTCTTTACTTATTTTTGAGACAGGTTCCCACTATGCTGTCCTGACTTGCCCCAGATGTCTGATATTTATTTTGGTCTGTACTACCTGAGGGCTAGGGTTTCAGGTGGGCACCACCACACCCTGCTGATGGATGACGTTTTGATGTCAGGAAGCCCAAAGCTCTACTCTTGGTGTGTAAGCATGTGTGACCTTGGAAGTCTGACTGTACACACAGAGACTGCTTGCTGCCTGTCACTTTTTCTCTTGCCTTACATCACACTGTGTCTGGACCTACCATTTAAGGACATGGACCCGAGACGTGACCATGGTTGGCTGCCACTGAATAAGCTCTTGCTTTGAAAATCCCACCTCAGTGGTTGGTAGGTATACTGTGCAGCAGGAAAATGGCCTGGCTTAGTACCATGTACATTACCAATTCCGTCTCAGATGAGGCAGTTATTAGTTGTAGACCCATCAAATACCCGAGACTCATGTTTTGTAACCTTTCATTGGCTTAAACCAAGCCCGTTGGATTTCTAGTTGAGGACTATCTGCCGGGGATCCTGGACTGAGTTTGCCTGGTGCCTATTGAAATTTTGTCCCAATATTATAGGGATGGGCTAATGATGTAGCTCAGTGGTAGACGGTTTGCCTAAACATGTGGACTTTGGGTTTCTCTCAGCAGTGTAGGGGGGACAGGTGCATAGAGAGGATCTGTGAGCGACCAAACCACACCCACAGAGCCGCCCCAGTCTGCCTCTAGAGTGGGACCAAGCGGTGGCTGGTCCTGTCACAGCTGATGTGCTTTATCTGCTCTCTTAGCAAACTGTCCAACCCCTTGCATAGGCGCTTAAAAACAGGCCTCAGTCTGGAACATTTTGCCTTTACAGCCTGTACTTTGTTTTTTATTTCAGGAAAATGTATATTGGTCTTTTCCCTCTCTCTCCCTCCTCCTCCTCTTCCCTCTCCTTTCCCTCCTTCTTCTCGGGGGGGGGGGGGGGGAGGGGGGGGTAGATTTTCACCATGTAACCTAGGCTAGCCTGGAGCTCACGATGTAGCCCAGGCTGGCTTTGAACCCACAGTCTTCCTGCCTTTGCTTCCTAAGTGCTGGGATTATGTTCATGTGCCACCATGCTTGGCTCCCGTGCTAGCACAAGGATGTGAGGGTTGTTTGTCTGTCTGTCTTTCCTGCTTCGGTGTGTGCTTGGCCAGCCCTGCTACTGTTCTGAGTCCCTGGCTGGAAAAGACCGAGGCCCCTTGCCTGCTGTGGGGTGTGTGTGTGTGTGTGAGGGATGTGAGGGGGGGGGCTGCACACACCTTTAACTGCAGGGAAGGTCTTGGCAGTGCTGGTCCTCTAGTTTTTCTCAGTTAACTGTTTGGTTTGGGAGGATTTTTTCTTTCTTTCTTTCTTTCTTTCTTTCTTTCTTTCTTTCTTTCTTTCTTTCTTTCTTCTTTATTTATTGGTTTGTGGATTTTTTTTTTTTTAGTTTAGGGTTTTTTGTTTGTTTGTTTTTACTGTGTGTGCCCTATAAATATATTTTTAATTATCATTAAGTATTTCATAGTTGTGATAATCTTAAAAAAATGGAATCTTCTTTAAAATTTCGATTTGGGGGAGCTGGAGAGATGGCTTAGTAATTAAGAGTGTCTACGGCTGTTGCCGAGGACCCAGGGCAGAACCCACATCATGCCTGCCTATAGCTTCATCTCCAGAGGATCCCAGGTCCTCTTCTGGCCTGATCAGGGCCACACATGTGTTCACATATGCACACACATACACATAACTAAATAATAAAGTAAATAATTTTTAAAGTTAATTTGTGTTTGCTTTGAATGCTGAACTTTGGATTTTTAGAGCTGACCTGAAGGGCATCTTGCTCACTCATGATAAACCTCCTGAATTGATTTGCTAATGATTTAAAGAACACTTTTTTTTTTTTTCTGGAGAGCACTGGCTTGAAATGCATCATAATGTCTTTGCCTGGTCAGGTGACACTGACCTTCTAAAGTCAGTTCAGATATTTGTCTTCTTCAATACTTGCCGAAGGAATTCATTATTATGTCTATTGAAATTGGTCTTTTCAGAGAATTTGGCTAATGTCTCTCCAATCCTGACTTCTCCAAAACTCACCTATATAGGGTGGTTTTAGTTTACATAAAACTTCAGCAAGGGACTCCAGTTTTTATTTGTGTCTGTTCTATGGAAATCTCCTGGAGAAGCTTAGTCTAAAACAGTGACTTCCTATCATGTTTATTTAACACTAGTAATACTTGGCCTACACTTGTGGCAAGTCTCTGCAATGTGTCTCCATCTTCACACGGTCTTTCCCTCACATACCTATCCCAGAATCCCAAGCTCCCTCCTGGCATTTACAAAAGTTCCAGGAACTGGACTGTGTCCCACCTTAATTCAGTAGGATCATCATCAAAATGGGTTCCTCCTGATAGGTTAGTGGTTTTCAACCTGTGAGTCTTGACCCTTTTGACAAACCTCTACCTCCCAAAACATTTACATTATGATTCATAACAGTAACAAAATTACAGTTATGAAGTAGCAATGAGAATAATTTTATGGTTGGGGGTCACCACATCATGAGGAACTGTATTCCAAGGTTGCAGCATTAGGAAGGTTGGGAGTCACTGTGCTAGGTGAAGCAGGACACACTTAGGAGGTGAAGGCACAGGACCAGGGTTCAGGGCCAGCCTGGGCTATATGAGCCCCTATTCCAAAACAAAACAGAATAAAGCAAAACAATAGCAAAAGTCTATTACTTCTGCAAAGAGTTTATTTCCAAATAAAGTCACATTAATAGCAGGTACAAGGGATTAAAGACTTAACATATATTTTGAAAAGGGGGGATACAATTCATCAAAAACATGCTTAGCATGTTTATTCATACATTTAAAATAAAAAGGGACTGAACGTTTTTCACAAACTTTTATTTTAAAGATTAGAACAATGATCTCACCGTATACCGAACTTAACTGACCACTGACTGATGCACGGGCCAGATATCCATTTCGGATAGTCCGTGTGTATTTATCCACCAGTTCTAGTCAGCTCTACTAGATGAGCTTGTGATCGCTGCCCACTGTGCTAAAGTCATTTGTCACGGGTGCCTCAACCACCTCGTGCAGCAGCTGAGGGTTGAATAAGGAGACGGGGACCTGCTTCAAGCCCCCATCAAAATGAACAGAGGTGAGATCCAGGCACAGCTAGAGGTAATTTTCTGGTTATTTTATGTTGCTACTCATGGTACTTAGTGATATAGTGGTTATACTGTGCCAGCTTCCATTGATAAGAAGAATTAAAAGCAGTGAGATGGCTGAAGGGGTATGGGCACCAGCCGCCAAGCCTGACAACATAGCTCTGTCCCTAGAACTAACGTGGCAAGAAGTGAATTGGCTCCCACAGCTGTCCTCTGGTCTCCATACACACATATGCGGGCACACACAAATAAATGCATATATGAAAATATTAAGAACACTTGACTGTGATTTTATTTGACAGGATATTCTCTTAAGTACCTGCCCCACCTCATACATGCCCCATATTCTTTCTTAGTCCCTCCCTCCCGCAGACTTCATCAGTAGCTGACACAGTTACCATATATATGTGTATATATACATATATGTACACACATGTATATATACATACATGTATATGTGTGTGAGTATATATATATATACATACATATATATTCATTTTTGTATATCTGTCACTCCTACACGGCATGTAAGATTCCCCAGAGTTTTTGGTTAGTTTTCTTCAGGACTGTATTTCCTCCCTTGGGGGATATGCCTGCCACATAAAAACAGTTAATGTTTGTGGCATGTGGATGAGACAGTGGGGGATGAGGAGCACAGAGCTTTTCTAAAGCACCAGGGTGGTCTCAGCTGCTTTAGATTGCTTTGGCACAGTCTTCCAATCTGCTCTTTCCTCCCTGCCTTACGATCCTTGCTTAGCATACTTGGGTCCGGGAAATTTTAACTTCCGGTCTATCATCTGGAATGCTTTCTGGTTATTTCCTTGAGAGGCTTAATTTAGATGTTCTTGCTTGTATCCTCTTCTAAATGCCAAAGACAAGGCTGGCTGTGTAACTAGGTGGTCCGGTGCGGGCCTAGGCTTCCTCTCCTGAAACATAAAAGGGGAGAGGGTGGATGGAAGGTCTGGCCTCTCACTATAGACATTCTAGTTTTCTTTTACAATGGCTCATTGAGCTGAAATGGATAGGATCTGGATCGTGTGTATCTATGCATGGAATTGTGGCTGCCCCTAAATTTAATGTAAATTTATGAAAAGTGACCCAGGATCTGTCCATACATTATTCGTTGACCAAGTTTTGAATTTGAATTACCTCATTAAAAACCGCGTTGTTTGAAAAAGAAGGAGACCATGACAGGTTATAATCTCGTAATAACAACTGAGTCTTAGCGGTAGGAAAGATGTGAAAACACAAGGCCCCACTGGGAGTCGAACCCAGGATCTCCTGTTTACGAGACAGGCGCTTTAACCAACTAAGCCATGGAGCCACACGGCAGCAGGTGTGAAAGACAGATGAATCTATTCTATTTGGGGGGATGGGATGGGGGGAAATGGACATCTGGTGATGCCTATTTTTGTTACAGAAGAATCATCTGTGAAAGGATACTGCGTTTTCTCTCGTCAGGCTGAAAGCATCACACCAGAAAACGAGTCAGTCCCGGGGTCGGTCAGATATTTTCCTCTTTACACACACACACACACACACACACACACACCCGGCTATGGGATGACAAAGGCCATCAACGACAAAGCAGATGAATGCGCAGGCAGGCACGGCACTTGTGCCTGCGTGTGTGCTGTGCGAGTCTTTGACCTCTTCCAAGAGCTGCATCAAAAATCAACCTTTTGCAGCGTTCTCGCTCAGCAGATTTCCTGGCGGCTGGACGAAAGCCGATCTTCAGCTACGGCTGTCTGCAGGTGATGCCCTCTTTGGACCTCCTAAGTTCGATTTCAAAGACCATAAAGAGGATCTCACTCCGAGCCTCTGGAACGAGGGGCTGGGGAGGCTGGAGCCTTGCACCCTGCACTGGGGACCAGAAACGGTTTGGTTTCCTGGGAGTGGAGGTAGAGGGCTGTGCTCAAGCCGGGAAGCTGGCTGGTGCTGGGATTGTTGGGGCCGGGGGAGGGGGGAGAGGAACGAACTTGCTAGGCCACAGGAATGGGGCAGGCAGGACCCATCTTCTCAGGGCTGGGGAGGACATGGAGAGTCGCATCGAATGCAAATGGTTCCAAATCGAACTGTGGGAATTAAGTGCTACCCAGAACTCCATCAGCAAAGGCTTTCTACCCTAAGGACTTTATGATATCAAGCAGAACCCGGATGCCCTGTGTGTACACTTGAAAGTGGGGGTAGGGAAAAAAGACCTTTGTAGTTGCTCTCAGTAAAAATAACAAAGCCTGTGGTGGTATATACCTGTAATCCCAACACACTGGGAAAGCTGAGGCAGGAGGATTGCCTTGAGCCTGAGGCCAACCTGATTTACATAGCAAGCCTCTGCTTTAAAAATAAACAAATGACCCCCAAAACGCAGCACTGACCCCAAAGTGCAGCAGGGAAACTTGGAACTTCCTGGGACTGAAGGGACCCCCAAGATGAAGTTCTCAGCACAGAGGAGATTTACCTGCCTCAGAGGAACAAAGGTGGGGAACAAGAGATGAAGATGGGAGGAGACCCAGCAGAGGGAGAAGGGGAAAGGTATGTTCATGCGGGGAGGGAACGGGGACCAAGGGCTGCCTCTGGAGAGAGAGGACACAGGCATAGGCCAACAGGCAAATGGCAGTTTATAAAGGTAAAAGGGGAAAGAAACCCCAGGTTAGAATGCGGTGTTTCATTTTGATTGGGCTTGTTAATGGGACAGCCAAAAGGGGACTTTTGGTGGCTGCACTTCAATACTTTGATAGCTGGACCTTCGTGGTGGTCCAGCTTGGGAGGAGGAGGCTGGCTCTGGCTGGCTTATGGCTTGAATGTGAAATGTCCAGCACCGACTCATGTGTTTGAACACTTGACCCTCAGCTAATGGTGGCTTTGGGGTGAGTTGTGGTGCCTTTGGGATGTAGGTCACTGCAGGGCAGGTCGTAAGAGGTCATAAGCCTGTCCTGTTGAGCTCTCTGCAGCTACCTCACACTTTTGCTGCCCGAGAAACCCCACCAGCTGTCAGATTCATGATCAACTGGGAACCAAAGCGAGTCCCCCCTCCCTCATGTTGCTTTTGTATTTGGCCACACAGGCAAGAAGAATAACTAATGCAGGTTGTTGTAGAATATTACATTAAGAAGTGTTACTTTTTTTATGATGTGGAATATTTGCTTAATGATGCAAAGATGTGTTGTATTCTTATACTGTTGCATTTGTTTAACTCTGTGAAGCTGAGTTACTTTGCCTGTCTAAAACACCTGCTAGTCTAATAGAGAGTTAAATGGCCAATAGCGAGGCAGGAGAAAGGATAGGCGGGGCTGGCAGGCAGAGAGAATCAATAAAAGGAGAAATCTGGGAGGAGAAAGAGTAAGAGAAGGAGGAGGATGCTAGGGGGCAACCACCCAGCCAGCCACAGAGTAAGAGTGAAAGTAAGACAGACAGAAGTAAGAAAAGGAAAAAGCCCAGAGACAAAAGGTAGGTGGGGTAATTTGAAGTTAAGAAAAGCCGGCAAGAAACAAACCAAGCTAAGGCCAGGCATTTATAATTAAGAATAAGCCTACATGTGTGATTTATTGGGGAGCTGGGTGGCAGGTCCTCCAAAAGAGCAAAAACCAACAACAGTAAGTTCCTTAGAACAATGTTTATTTTCTCTGGATCAGAGGCATAGAATCCGTATTTTTCAGAGCAGCAGCAGAGTTGAGACCTCACAGATTCTCAGGCACAGTGCACATGTGCTGTGGCAAGCCGAAAGAAACCTGAGAGGCTACAGGTCCCGGTTGCTAGAAGAGTTTCAGGAGACCTCCAAGCCCTAGAGTCAAGTGTCCCAAATTTCTACGCTCAGATGTTGTAACATGAGCTGCTGTAAGAACCAAGGGACTTGACCACCTATGACTCAAAAACTGGAACACTAGCTGTGGTGTCGATCCCAGTACCTAAGGCTTGGGAGCTGCAGCTCCAGCCGATACTGGCTGCCACTGCCACCAGCTCCTGGTAAGAGCAGAGGATTACAATTGCCCCCAATTGCTCAGGGAAGCAAATCACAGAGTAATAAGCTCCCACCCAAAACACCGGGAGCAGTATGTCTCTGGACTGTCGAAACCATAGCCATAAGCCTGTAGTCTTCTAGACTTGCAGCTATGACAAGCGCTAGAGCCTGTCACCAGTCCATAACCCCGTGACACTCAAGGGCCAGAACTAGAGACACCAGAAAAACTACTTCTCCTGCTTCAGTTTCCCATCTGGACAGCACAAAGTACTCAGTCAGCTGACCACGAACAGCCGGCTTTCTGTAGGGCCCTTGCACTTCTGATAAAGATCAGGGTCTGTTGCTTTTTGACACTTTGTCCTGTTTATGTGCTTTCAGATTTTAATTAAGTATAAATTAATTTTATAAACAGAATTGAAAGAGGGGGAGGGAGGGAGAGAGGAAGGGAGAGGGAGAGATTCCTCCAGAAACAAGAAGTCCCCTTTTGTAGGAGCGTGGAGGGCTTGACTAAATGATCAGAATGAAGGGACAAAGAGGCCTGGCTCCAAAGAGTCGACAAGCTGGGCGTGATTGCAGTACCTGTATTCCTAGCTACTTGAAAGGCTGAGGCGGGAGGACTGGAAATTCAAGCCAGCCTGGGCTACATACCTAAGTCTGTGCTTTAGATCTGAGCAGCAATGTGTCTACAGTACCACCTGATGCTTTGACTAGTACCAAGAAGATTCTAGAACACTTCTGAGAAAACCAGAATGTTGAAGGTGTAAGTTGTGAGGTCAAGCAAGCACATAATATGGCCTGAAAAACATCACTCGGAGTCCACTGCTGCTGGTTCTTTGATTATTTATTGATGATTATCACGAGACAGTGTTAATAGGGAGAAATTTAAAGTTGGGAAGAGTCAGGGTGAGAGTGAAATGCATCATTTGGTGTGAAGGACATCTGTGACCAGGAGCCAGAACCCAAGTTCACGAGCAGAAAGGCACCTAGGAAGGCTCTGGTAGGGTCTCATCCAGAGGGGCCTTGGGGCCTACCAGGGTAGAGATGGCCCTCCCTTCCTGCCAGGTAAGGTTTCTGCTCTCAGCCTTCAGAATCCCCTAAGAAAACTAAAGGATGGTGTGCTACCAAAGGGGCTAGACAGAAAAGCTTGACAAAGCACGCCCAGCTTGAGCAGAGAGGAGGCTGGGAAGGGAACCCAAAGGGCCTTGCTACCCATTTCCACTTCCTTTAACTCATCGAGACAGGGAGTGATAGATTAGGACCCTTGAGGGGTTGCTTTTTTAGATGAATGGGATTGTCTGGATCATCAACTCTAAAATATGACTTCCTTTTGGAATAGATTAGGAAAACTTGACATGGCAGAGTCAGACATTTGGGTATATAGATTCTCTTTGACTTAATTTTCAATGCATGTACATGCCTACCACAGAGACCGTCTGTATACATTCATACAGAGCTGTTCACGCATGCATTAGTAGGGACGCAGGTAGTGTTGCATGCTTTGGTCATCTGGAGGCTGGTGATGGAGTGGAGCAAAGACATTATGTGTGAGGCATATCCTACTGGGTACGGGTTTGGTTTAGGTACTCCATGATGTCTGACTGGACGGTGCTAACAGGAGTCATGTGGAACCAGCGCATGACAGGGACCCCGTCAGTCCCCACCAGGAACTTCTCAAAGTTCCAGCGGATGTCATGGACCTTCATGGGATTCCAGAAGAGATATTCTGTAGATCCCAAAAGTTCAGAGGTGGGAGGGCAGGAGTTCTGGAGCAGAGACATGAAAAACAGAAAGATGATCTCATTTCTGCTTCTGTGTTGTCCAGCCTTCTCTGCTCACTGCTGTACAGCTTAATGTTTTAAACTCCACATGCTTCTGGCCCTGCCCAGGCCTCTTAATACACTACCACCAGCACACCAAGGCCATTCTAACCAGCGTAGAAAGTATGATAGTCAGTGAACAGCATCCCACTTTCCTGCCTCCCCCCAGTCTCATGACTTCATCATGATGAGTAAAAGAACACAGTCAGCGGGGGCGTGATGGCATGCTCACACCTTTAATCCTAGCACTCAGAAGGTTAAGAAGGTAGATCTCTGAGTTCAAGTCCAGCCTGGTCTACAGAGTAAGTTTCAGGACAGCCAGGGCTACACAGAGAAACCCTGTCTCAGAAAAAAAAAAAAAAAAAAAAAAAAAAAAATCTCTTTCTTTCAGCAAGTTATGATTTCTATGGTTTCAGTTTCCATAGGTGAAAAATAATCGCTTGGTTTTAGAATTGTAGTTCCCAGGCTTTGGAACTTCATAAGCCATAAAAGTTCAATAGCTATTTTGGCAATAAGGAAATTAAAAATCTGTTATAACCATAAATTTAAATCTTAAGATATTTTATTATTTACTTTCTTTTCTCTAGATTTATCTTATTTTTAAATTATGTCTATATATGTGTATCTCAGGTGAGTATGTACACCTGTGAGTACAGGTCCCGCAAAATTCAGCACAGGTTGTTGGATCCCTGGCTGAACAAGTGGTGGTTCTGGGAACTGATCTGGAAGATCAGTATATGTTAACAGCTGAGCTATGCCTCCAGCTCCATACTATTTAGTTTGTTATTTAGTTTCACTCAAGAGCCCAAGATGGTCTGAAACTCAGTGTGTAACCCAAGCTGACTATGGACTCAGCTTCCCAAGCACTAGGATTTCAGGCATGAGTCGCCACATCAGACAGGACTTTTAAATACTAGACAGCTCTGTATAGATAATATCACTGTTTTGAGACAGGGTCTTGTTGTGTGGCTGTGACTTGCCTGGATAGGACTATTTAGACCATGTTAGCCTAGAATTCATAGCCATTCCCCTGCATCTGGATCCTGAGTTATGGCATTATCGGTGTGAGCCACCATGTTTTGTCATGGTCATCTTCTGTGCTGCAGTTCATGTGGTGTGGCCTGACCATAACTTATTATTGGAATAAATAATTGACGTTTATATTTAGTAAGTAGATCTTTTGTTTCAGTTTGCTGTGGCTGAGTGGAAATATCCACAGGGACAGCTTTGTTCTACAGCCCATCCTCTGGGAACCAGTGACTGCACGATCCTTGTTGGGAAGGTTCTTCTTTCCTGGTCTTCTTCTGCAGTTATAACACACTGTGGTTCTTCTCCTTTGGCACTCTCTTTTAGCCAGGTCTGTGTCTTCTCCTGACTGTGTAATAGATCCTTCAGGTAAGAGACTAACCTATTAATTAGTAACTGTTAACTTGTATTTCGCAGTTCCTTGAACCAAGTAGAGATTGGATTAATGATTATTGATCGAATAAACAAATCATTAGCATTCAGCAGGGGAGGTTAATCCACATGAGAGCTATCATGTGTGTCTCCTCTGCTTGGAGCCAAAGCCTCTTGTCTATGAATTTACTCCTTACGGAGTCCCTCCTCATCAGAGACTCCAGCCCCGTTCCTCTCAGAGAATCCTATCTGACTGATCCACGCCATGTTTGTTCACTCACCTTTAGGAAAGAAAAAAACTTTTGTTCGTTTTCTCCATTCACATCCCCTTTCTCAAAGAGCTGGAAATTGGGGACATAGCCACCTCCTGGCCGCACATATCTGCAGTGAAACAAGGTGTTCTCAAGAGAATCCAAATGAAATCGAGGAGGGGTAGGAACGGCCACCAAGGGTCCTCCCAAAGGGATAGAAAAGATTATAGAAAACGAGAGGAGGAAGAGGGGGTTTCTCTGGGATCAAGATTCTAAGTAGGAGGCTTCATAGAATCAGAGCATTCCAAGACACTGGGGAGAGGACATTTTGAACTCAGATTTCCTGGCTCATCTCCATTTCCTGTGTCCTTCTTTTCCCTGAATGTTGTTTCCTTAGATCTTCCCTGTTCTCACCCTTAAAGAAGCCAAGCATGGAGAGAGAACTTGGGCACTTCCTGTAGGGCTGGCTGGAACTCTAGGCATCATGATGACATGCTTCAGCCCATTGTCCCATCACCCACTCTAGAAGACTCCGGAATGGAAGGTACCCAGGCAGATGAGGAAAGGGCTCCTCTAGGACCCCACATAGCACTCACTTGAGTCCATGGAGGATCTCTGAATTTTTGGCAGGTTCTTGTTTTCCAAACTGGTTGCAAGGAAAGCCCAAAACAACGACATTGAACTGCCTCAGCTCCTCCTGCAATGTGTTCAGTTCTGTGGGTAGAGGGTGAACAGCATGGGCTGAATCCCTGATCAAGTCTCAAAGGACCACAAGGTTTACCTTCTCATCCTGGGAAGACACTGAGGACTATGAAAGGCTACAGACATTCAACAGGCAGAGCAAACAGCTATAACACAAGTCTCTGGGAACTCATCTCAACGGCTGCTGGTTGTGTGGCACACTGTTTCCCAGATCTCCTTAGTCTTCACCTTACATGCAAAGAGTTTGGATTAGACTTATGAAAAATCCTACTTGATTCTGAAAGGCTAGACTCCCAAGTGCATTGTCTTTGCTAGCTGGTGGAGGTTGACCAGATGTTTTATAAGGAAAAGGCATATGAAAGGGCCACGCTCTCCTGTCCTCCCACCGCATCTCACGATGACCTCTGATGCTACAGTCACCTTCCCAGAAGCACGCGTTGCTGTTGTAAATTAGAAGTCATAAAGGGGAACAGAAAAGCAGAGTCTGACTGCAGTGTTCACCTATAATCCCAGCACTTAGAAGATGGAGGCAGGGGGATAGCCCTAAGTCATAGGTCAGCCTGAGCCATATAGTGAGTTCCAGGCCAACCAAGTCTATGTAGTGAGACACTTTCTCAAAAAGAGAGAAAAGTCCAAACCTAACGATAGCATTCTCTACCCTGACCTCAATACCAATAAACGAACACCATGGCCGCCTCAGTAGGATCCCAGGCCACACAGTGTAGACTGTTCTTCATTCGCCAAGAGCCTCTGACGTGTCTGCTCAGACCTGTGCCACTGCTGACTTCAGTCATTTTCCGTTTGGAGTTCCTCCTCAGAATCAGCCACGAAGCTCCTTTAGGACTGCTCGGCTTGCTGTCCCCCCAAGAACCTCTTCCTAGATGAGTGTCTTCAAGTTTTAATACATTCCTTGTATAATTTATGTGAAAATATATAACATATTTAATTTTAATAAAATAGAAAATAAATATATATTTAATAAATTTATTATAAAATTTATTTTTTGAGTTTCATGTGTGACCAGGATGGCTTCCAGCTAATTGTGTAGCCAAGGATGACCTTAAACTTCTGACCCTCCCACCTTCCCCTTCCCCTACCTGGTGCTAGAATTAGAGATCTGCATCACTATGCTTGGTTTATGTGGTGCTGCGGCCTGAACCTAGGGCTTCATACAGGCTAGGTAAGTACGCAGCCAATGGAGCTACACCTCCCCCCCGTATAAAATATTTTATATAGTCTTACCCATATCTTCAGTTGCTGCCTACATTCACCCGCCTCTCATCTTCAGCTTCCTCCTTGTAGCATAAACTCCGTAAACCTCAACGTTAGTCTCTGGCAAGCTCTGAGCCCTCTCAATTTTTTCATCAAGAGTAAAATTTGAGGTGCCCTCCAAAATTCTCACTAAGTAGTTTAATTCACAATGAGTGAAGTAGCCAGGTATAATGGCTGAAGCCTGTAATCCCAACATTTGGGAGATGCATCAGGAGGATCAGAGATTCAAGACCAACCTTGTCTTCTGGAGACCTTGTCTCAAACAAACAGAGAAGCGAGGAAATAGCAGGTACTGATAAGGAATAACATCCATGTGTTCTATTATGTAAAGGAGCAAGGTGACGAATAATTTGTGCACATGTATGCCTATCTCTCTTACACACACATACACACACACACACACACACATAGATGAGAGAGAGAGAGAGAGAGAGAGAGAGAGAGAGAGAGAGAGAGAGAGAGAGGAGATTGATTTCAGGAAATATATACTATAAACTATTACAAGTTATGTAAATTAAAGGGAATTTGGGCAGTATGCCTATTAAACCCTTTTGTATCTTTTGAATGCTGGGAGGTATTTTATACTCAACATATGTATTAAAATTAAATTTAAAAAATTCCCTCAGACCTACACAAATGCTAGTCAAGCATTCTACCATGCTCTTAGCCCTAAAATTAAATTATAACAAATTTCCAAATGTACCATATTTTCAACTTTTTGAAGGAAAGAAAATCCCCATTTGTTAACTGATACTAAACTGATTTTTGCTTCTTAAATTTAGGTTCTTGGGTTTTAAAAAAATTAATATGTATCTTTTCAGGTTTTCCTTAAAGCTGATTCCATGTAAGAATATAGAAATATAGTGGTTAAGAGCACTGACTGCTGCTCCAGAGGACTTGGGTTTGATTCCCAGTGCTTACATTGTATCTCACAACTATCTGTAACTCAAATGTCAGAGGATTCAGTACCTCTTCTGGTCTTTATGGGCACTGCATGCATATGGTTCATAAACACAGATACATACATATATGTGTACATACAGACAAAACAACCATATACATAAAATTAAATTTAAAAACAAAAGACAAGAACAAAAAACCTGTAATTTCACCACTAAATTGAAACAAGTCTTTAGCTTCTCTTGAAATCTGAACCAGTTGTTTGGCTATGATTTGTATCATGTAGTATTTTTCTTTCTTTCTTTCTTTCTTTTTAATTTTCTTGAAACAGGGCTTCATGGAACCTAGGCTGGCCTGGAATATAATATGTAACCAACAATGACCTTGAACTCCTGACTCTTCTACCTGCACCTCCAAAATGGGGTTATAGGCAGTAGTATTAATGCCTGCCTGAGGAAGTGGCATTTTAATATAACTACAGCTTAAGTCAAACATCTTCCTCTGAACAGTAACTTCAAAATCGGAAAATTTGATGACACATGTATCCTAGATGAGACATTGCAATGTACATCAATTTAAGTCATGTTTAGGAAACAGAAAATTCTGGAACTTGTAATTATTATAGTTGCATTAAAACAAATTGATAGCATGTAATAACATTGTTCATATGTATAATCGAAGCATTTGGGAGGCAGAGGCAGAAGGATCATGAGTTTGAAAGGTGAAATCTTATCTCAAAAAATTATTTTTGAACAGCACCTCATAGTTTTGATCAGTCAAGTAGGTAGCAATGTCAACATGTGGAATTTGTAAAAACTTGTTCCTGCATTATTTTGGTCCATTTATCTGTAGCATTTGATTCAATAAACCTTTAGAAGTTATCGTGGATATTCTTAAAACAATAATGTTCTTAGCGTGTCAAAAATTATATCACTTGTACAATTCATATAGAAATTTATATGACCTTATTTGAATTAACAAAAATGTGAAATCCTTCCATGATGAACACAATAGGGAGATGGAACATTCTCCCATATTTACCACTTGCTCCATGCAGCCTTCATAGTGGCTTGGATAAAAAACCTCATTCTATGTCATTTAGGGGTGCCTCCTGAAGATAAAAGACCAGTCTTTTGTTGTTGTTGTTGGTGGTGGTGGTGGTGGTGTATGTGTGTGTGTGTGTGTGTGTGTGCGCGTGTGTGTATGATATGTACATGTGTGGAAACTGGGGGTAGATATTTGGTGTTTTCCTCTATCCCCACATTATGTTTTTCCACTTTATGATATATGATATTTTTTGAGGTCATCTCTCACTGAACAGGGGCTACTGTTTTACCTAGACTGGCTGGCCAGTCAGCCTGAGGAATCCACTTGCCTCTTTGCCCCTTGTATCCTAGTTATAGGCTTACAGGCTTGTGCCTCTACCGTGTTTGGATTTTTGTAGGTTCTAGGGAACTGAATACAGGTCTTTGTGTATGTTCAACAAGCACTTTATGCACTGAGACAACTCCCTAGCCTCCTAATGTTTGTTTTTGTTTTGATATGGGGGTCTTAAGTAGTTCAATGGCTGAGAATGACTTTGAACTCCAGATCCTCCTGTCTCCCGCTCATAAGTGCTGAGATGACAGGTTTGGACCACTGTGTTATGCGATGCTCAGGACCAAAGCCAGGACTTTGTGTATACTGGGTAAGCACTCTGCCAAACAAACCACATCACCAGCCACATAATCTGTATTATGACTCCCCATTTCACTCTTGGTTTAATGCAAGCCAATCTCCACTATTCTAGGTTCTGGTCTATGAGTCACAGGGAGGCTTTGGTGTTCTATCAATCAACCCTACAGAACATCAACATCAGAGTATGCAACCCTGGTCAACCATGACCAATCAAGACTGCCCTTCAATCTTGTCTGAACACACACACACACACACACACACACACACAGTGTCTAAATCACAAAATGACCACTCGCCACCCTGCCAATATAAATGGTTGCAACTACTTTACTAGTTACAGCTCCAGCCTTTCTGTTTCTCTCACACTATAGATATGATTTCTTAAGATAACCAATCACACAATTGTCCCCTTCTTTATTTCCTGACTGCTTTTAATCTAGAGCAAAGGTTCAGTTCCTGGAATCTTTTCCCACACTACCTGACGCTAGCTCAGGGGACCTGAGTCTTTTTTATCCCTTTCTGAGAAGCCTCCTTGTTCCCTGTGGCAGATGGGCAGCAACTCCAACTTGTTCAACCACGGATGTGTTTCTTAGTGGTTGTCCAACATATCTGGGGGAAAACCTTAGTGCTTGAGCATGGAGATAATTCTGGCAGGAAAAGCAGCAGAATAGGAAGGTTTAGGGGAGTAGAGTCAGTGTGCTTATTCATTCCCCAATCCCAGCAACACAGAAACACCTTCTCCCATCACACTATGGTCGGGGGCATGCTAGTTGTAAGAGAGAACTGAAATTTGAGTTCTTACCGGGATAAGTAGCTGTCAGGCCACAGAAGGATGCCACGTTGACAAAGAGGATGTGCTTTCCTGCATACTGCTGGAACTGGACATACTCCCCACCGTTCAGGGTCTTGGCTCCATACTCATAGATGGTGCCAGCCACCCCTTTGTCGCAATCCACCTGTAATACAACACAAGTGACTCCAGTGGTCTGACCTAATAAACAATAACCCTCAACATCTGTCAGCATTTTCAAAGCACTTAAAGATTTTTCATGCAATATCTTAAAATTGGAAGAACTGAAGAATTTCTGTTTGAGGAACTCCACATTCAGGAAGGCATTGGTGGTGAATACAGACCTGGGTGCCCCTAGAGGGTGCCCTCTCCAGTGGGCTGTGACCTCACTTGATAGTAGGTAACCTGTGACTTTACAGCTGCCAATCAGAATTTTACATGCATTCTTACCCTTCACATGCCCAATAGCAGAGGTCAAAGCTCAAAGGTCAGACTTAAGGATTTGCATCATGGGAGCATTTTAGGCATGTTTGGGCTCCCAAGAAGACACACTGGATCAAAATCTCTAGGAATGGGACCCAATCACCAGTGGGTTCTCAGTTTAGCTAAGGTTTGAGAATTACTGTTCTCTATGATAAGATTGTTCTTGCCTTTTAACAGAAGGGAGCCAGAATTGACAAAAGATATATAAGTAGCTTAAAGCCACAAGTGAGTTTGGGGTTTTCAATGAGTTTCTCTGATTTTAAAGTTAAAATATATTGGTCCCTCAAGTCATCTGCATTAGCCCTATTCTGCCTTCTAAGATGTATGCATGCTTTTTTTTTTTTACAGGGGTGGCTGCTGACTCCTCGTGTGGACATTTTTGGATACCATTCCCCGCTCCTGGCTCCTTGTGAGGATTTTTGACTACTGCCCTACAGTGTGATGATTGTGCAGCTCCTTGGAGCAGCACCAAGATCTGAGGAGAAGTCATTGCACTGAGCAGAGCCCTGTCTTCATGCCCTCCCCCCAAAAATCAGCCTCTGTGTCTTAATGGTCACTAAACAAAAGTCCCCCTTCCCCTAACCTGGTCTCTCTCTCTCTCTCTCTCTCTCTCTCTCTCTCTCTCTCTCTCTCTCTCTCATCTCTCAGTTTGGTCCAATTGGTCTGAGAACAATCAGCCTCCTTCCCAATTCACTTGCTACTTAACCACTCATTTCCCAGAACCCATGGGCTGCTCCAGGTTACAGATCAGCATGGGATAGGGCAGATTCTGAGTTGTCAAGCAGAGATCAAGGAGGAATGGCAGGGGCAGCTGGCGGTGGGGGGCCGGGGGCGGGGTGTGTGTGTGGCGGGGGGTGGGGAGGAGGCTGGCTATATTCTGCTCAAAGGTCCACTGGGTGCAGAGAAGCAGAGAAGATTCGTGGAAAACACAGTAAAGCAGACTGAAGAGAGGCGGGAAAGGTGCTGTGGCCGAGGGCATCGGTGGCAGAAGTCTGCAAAGAAAGCCTGTCAAGCAGCTCTCTCCCTTCAAGAACAGGATAGGCCCCTGAATCGCTTGGTAGCCACGTTATTTATCAGATGTTGAAATCAGCTTAGATCTCCGGGCGGGGGCAGCGGGTCAGGGGTTGCTTACCTTTGTTTTCTGAGGATTCAGAGTACTCTGAGACAAGGCAGCTAGAAACAGTGGGAAAAGACAGGAGGCCCAGAACTGCTTGGCCATGGCTGTACAAGGAACACTGGGTGAGTCTCGAACCTCAGGAACTGTGATCCCTTTTGAGTATCCCCAGCAGGCACCAGTTTGGAGAAGCACAGCCAATCACAGAGCGGCTTTCAGTCTCCACCTCTCTCCTTTTCTCTCTTCTGCTCACCCTTGCTCTTCGGATGCAGGAGACACGTGCGTGCGTGCATAGGCACATGCTCTGACAGGTGAAGGTGAGATGAAGGTCTGGAACCTGAGATGCTGCACCTCCCCTCTCCAGGTGACTGGAGGAACTCATGCCACTGAATCGCAACCTACTTTTCCACAACGTGTTCTCGAGGTTTGCATGCAGACTCAAGTTTGAAAAGCATTGGCTCAGATTGTCAACAGTGATGCAGCCTGGAGACACAGGCACTCGCCCCCCCGCGAGGAGTTCTCTTCCCGCTTAGGGACCTTTGCTCCTGCTCAGGTAAAGCCAGATTCTTGACAATGCCACAGAAAAGAACTCCAGGACCAGAGAGAACAAAGCAGTTAGTACAGTGGGTATTTAGACAAAGAGTCGTGGAGGGGAGGGCAGTGCACAACCCCAAGACATAGCTGTACAAGCTTCTGTGGTTTGCTAAGCCAGTCCTCAAAGCTTGTAACTTACAGCAGGATGAAGTGGAGCTCGGAATGCGAGCAAGGCCTAAAAGTAAAAACAAAACAAAAACAAAAACCCACACGCACTGGCTTAGTTGGTAAAGACTTAAATTTTAATTTAGTATTTGTGTATGGCATGTGAGCGTGCACCGGGAGGTCCCAGAACAGCTGTGTGCAGCTGGTTCTCTCCTGCCTTACCTGGGCTCCAGAGAGCAAATGTGGGTCAGGCTTGTGAGGCTGGCACCTTTACAACTGGAGTTTTCCTGCCATCCCTAGTCTGTTTGGTCGGTTTGTTGTTTGGTTTGGTTTGGTTTGGTTTGTTTTGATTTGGTTTTTCAAGATAGGGTTTCTCTGTATAGCCCTGGCTGTCCTGGAACTCACTTTGCAGTCCAGAGCTCTGCCTGCCTCTGCCTCCTGAGTGCTGGGCCACTGGTTTTTGTTTTGCTTTGTTTTTCAAAGGCAAGGTTTCATGTATCCCAGGCTGGCCGGTAATTGATTTGCAGCAGAGGACAACCTTGAACATCTGACCTTCCTGACTTCACCTCTGGGTTCATATAGATGTTTGCCATTATCCTGGTGTTCTCTGATGTTGAGGATTAAACCCAGGACTTCTTGCGTTCTAACTAAGCAAGTGTCTATGAGCTGAGCTATTACACATCCCCAGGCCTTTTGGCTTGGTGAGGGTTTCTATTGATGTAACCAGAGCAGCTTGGAGAAGACAGGGTTTATTTGGCTTACTCTCCTACAGCACGGTCCATCATCACAGGAAGTCAGGGCAGGAACCCAAGCAGGGCAGGAACCTGGAGGCAGGAGCTGACACAGAGGCCATGGAGGAGGGCTGCTTACTGGCTTGCTCCTCATGGCTTGCTTATACAGAGAACCCAGGACCCCAGCCCAGGGCTGGCCCCTCCCCCATCGATCACTAATTAAGAAAATGCACTACAGGTCTGCATACAGCTCCATCTTATGGAGGCAGTTTCTCAACTGTGGTTCTCTTCTCTCTGATGACTCTAGCTTGTGTCAAGTTGACTTAAAAGTAACCAGCACACCACGTGCTTTCTTCCCTCCCTCCCTCCCGCCCTCTCTTCTTCTCTTCCTTCCATTTTTCCTCCCTTCCTTCCCTCCTTCTCTAATCCCTTCCTCCTTTCCTTCCTTTCTGTATTTTATGGGTATGAGTGTTTTGTCTTGATGTATGTACGTGCGCTACATGCATGCCTAGTGCCTGCAGAGGCCGGAAGAGGGCATTGGCTCCCCTGGGACTGGGGTTGCAGGCAGTCGTGGGCTACCATATGGGTGCTAGGAATCAAACCTCTAGAAGAGCAGCCAGCACTTTTAACTGCTGAGCCATCTTTCCAGCCTCATATTTTTCTTAAAGAACCCCAACCCCTTTTGTAAAAATGAAATTAAAGGTTGTTTTATGAGATTTACTGTTTATATTTAGGGATGAATGCCGAGTACTGACACACTAAGGCTCAGAGTTATAAACATTCTGGCCTTGAGTGAGCAGAATTCATTAACTGCTTTTAACATGCTTGTCTGAGATGTTTTTAGGAAAACACAAATTATCTCTGCAGGCAGTTTGGGATTGACTTGTTGTGATGAGATTTCTTGACTTTCGGGGAGCAGAAAGGGCAAACTGGATCCCAAGGTAAAGCAGTTTCTTTCTCTTCTCATGACCCCTTAATTTTCCCACCTTTTTTATTCTGTCTCAAGATGACTATCATTTGTTCTGTCTCTTCAAACTTCACCACTTAAACAAACAAACAAAAATTGTCAAGATTTTAAAATATGAAGCCAGGCTATTGGTCCTAAGCATTTCTGCTTTGCCCCTCACCTTGGCACCTGGGAACGAGTTCCTTAACAGAGGACAGACAAACTGAGGGACATGCATCCACGGTGGAAAGTTATCATTCCATGAGGCAGGAATGGCGTGGGCTTCAGTCTCCTCCTTTGCAGATGCTTGTATTAATCTTTGCCCTGCCTAGTCTAAAAATGTGTTGTTGTGAAGTTTTAACAGGATAACAACCAGCATGTTGTGCCAAAATCTCTGAAGTGGGTGAGAATTGTATTTCCCGACTGCTTCCTCTCGCCTTCTCTCCCACCCACCCGGTTTTTACTGCCAGCTTGGGGTCATGAGAAAGCCTTCCTCTCCATTCTAATCCTGTCATCCAGCCCTGCCACCTGCCCTGCCCCTTCCAAGCTCACACAAAGGGCCTTCTATGCCTCTGAGAAGTGGGATCTGGATGGAGTTCCAATTCTTGTGAACTCTTAGAAGGCATCCACTGGGTTGTCTGGGACTTCTGTGTTCCTCTGCAGTCCAGGATCTGATCCAGACACCCAGTGCAGCCACACCGCTCTCCAGGGTCTTGAGGCAGCATGCAGAAGGCTCTCCTCTTAGTGCACATCCCCAAGATCTTCAGCCCTCTCCCAGTCTCAGTTTTAAGAATAGCTGAACCTTAGAGTGAGTGTATTTTCCCACTTTACTAAAGTGAGCATAAACTTATAAAATGTCACTTGACTTAGGTTTTTCTGTTTGTTTTTGTTCTTCAGATGCACTAACTGCACATATTAGGAATCTGAAGAGTGATATTTATTTATTTATTTTTAAATTTGTTTCAGGATCCTACTCTGTAACCTTGGACAGGCTGCAACTTACTACGTAGCCCAGGCTGGTCTCAAAACTCATGGAAAGTCTCAATGTTCCAAGTGCTGGGGTTACAGGCATGAGCCACCATCTGGCTTAACAGTGACACATTTGCTGTAGTTTTCTTTCATTTACATTTTTGTGCACGTTCTGCCTTGTACTGCCTCATGCTTGAGGAAAACTCAGATTCAGGCTGGCTGTGGCTCTAATCCTGAGTTTTCATGATGACCACTGACCCTAACTTAAAGTCCTCCTGAGACTGTCATTATTACCAGAAATCCTACCTTCATCTGCTTCGGGAAATAGTTCTAGCAGTTGGTGACAGAAGAGAGAGACTATGTAAAGATGAACATGTGCCTTCCTGGGTACTGTTCATGTCCATTGTTCTCACCACAATGTATCTCGGAGGGCCCACCATGTCCCCATATAACCATAGCAACTGAAACGCTGACTGGCCTGGATGGAGATGCTCTAAAGATGTAACCAATGGACACCAAAGAATTAAAATCTCCCCTGGAATCCTGTGCCAGGTAAAGGGGAAGCCTGAGGCCCAGCTGTCAACCAGAGGAAGAACTTGACTCCCAGGTAGATTTCACACAGTGCTGACAGCTTGCTTGACAGACCAGAGTTGAGACAATGACGAGGCAGTGATGGGAGGGACTGCACATTAATGAGGAATTCTTAGGAAGAACCTCCCCCTGCCCTCTATGTAAACCAGTTCAGTATCCCAGATGATCCTGGGGGTCATTAGACCTCTTTACTTGTCCCTCTTCCCATGTGGCCACAATGAATAAATTGATTCTTCCCTCTCTGCTTTTCACTACTGTCTCTCTAATTGGCCTGCTGGGGAGCCATGGTTGAGTCTGTCTTATTGGGACTGCCAAGGCCCAGGTTTTGACCATAGCAACTCCAGTAACAATGTCCATAGTGCTCACAAGAGCTATTGTCTCATTTGGTCACAGGACCAGATGTCCCCCAACAAAGCATAGTCCCAAGGTTGCTGTAACTTAGGTCTACTTTTCTCTGGGAAGGAAGGAGAATGCTTATATTAATATGACAGGCTAAATTCCAGATATTCTCCTAGAACTGAAGCTTTGAAACTAAAAGATGATCACATTTACTTATTTTCAATTTTTTTTCTTCCCTCCTGTGCCCCTTTTTTTCTTGATGGGTCTCACTCTCCACACCAGGCTGGCCTTGAACTCTTGGAAATCTTTATGCCTCACCTTCTAATACCTGGGCATACAGGCATTCACCACCACATTTGCCTTCAAAGTCTTAATGTTTTCTCTGATTTTGAGAAATTCAGCTCTTTTGGTCACCTATGTGACCAGGTTTTCTCACCTTAAGTAGACCAGGCCCTGACAGTACTGACTCAAAGTCTAGAATCTCAACATATATAAATTCCCACTTCTGCAATTTATACATGGGAAGAACAAGGCCCAGGAAGTGGAGGGGCTGGCCATCCTGACCTCACACATCCCTGGATAAAAGCCAAGTCTGCCTCTGTTGCTGTAGTGATCGAGTTAGGGGCAACTAAGACACTGGAAATTTTTGACTTATATTTGATTCTCTGGGGTTTTATTGTTTGTATTTGGTTTTAGAGACTCAACCTCACTGTCTTTGTTGATGTGTGTGTGTATACATATGTGTATGTGCATGAATATGTGTGAGCATGTGGAGTCCAGAGGACAGGCTTGATGTCATTCTCAGGAACATCATCCACCTCCTTTGAGAAAGGGTCTCTCATTGACCTGAAGCTCCCAAATTGGGGCTAGACTGGTAGGCCGGGG